TTTTCTGAAATAGATCCCACGGAGTTGCAACAATTGCGAAATTTTTTTCAACTCACAAAGCATCATCATTTGGCAAAACTTCAGTAATGTTCAAAATACTCTCCGCCAATTTCAATGCATTTTTCATGCGATGAATCCAACAATCAAAACAGTGCTAAAAATCAAGTTATGATCATTGCATTAAAAAATTCATTGAAATTGATGGAGAGTATGATGAACAGCAGCAAAGAATTTCCAAGTGATGTGGCCATGTAAGTTTTTGTGAATTGTTGAAACTCCATTGGATCTGTTTCAAAAAGTCTCCAAACTTATGAAATACCCCTCGTAAATATCCGCACCCCCATTCATAGAGAGTGAGGCAAGTACTCACTGTTCAAGGAAGATGATTCATATTACATGTACAATACCCAAATTTTTTTTTTAGATGCATTCTGAAAAAAATTTTCAGACCCGTTTTTTTCTTTTTTCTTTTTTTTTACAAGCACACCCTCATCTGATTATTTCTTATCTTTTTGGCTAAAGTTTCAGATTTTGCTAATGGAAGCAAACAGGGTTAAGGAATTCAAAGGACTTGGCCTTTTCGTGGTCAACAAAGCGATGATCACGGCGGTGAGCTTTTACAATTAATTGGTTCATTTCTTTTTTTAAAGCGTCATACTAATTTGTTTAGTGCAATGAACTTCTGGAGTAATTTTGGTTGATTTCTTGGAAACAGATAGCGAATGCTTTCATCACCTACTTCATCATTCTGATACAACTGAATTATGAGGACAAGTGACGAATATTCAAGGCAGAGTTCTCATATAGAAGCCACGTAGACCGATTTTTTGTGCGTGAAGATTTGTAAGTATTTCACGCATCTTGAAACAGTGAAAATCCGGTCGAGACTAAAAATGTCGTTTTCCAAACTTGCGGAAATTTCAAATTAAGCAATTGGATTCATGACAGATGTTGAATATTCAAGACAGAGCTCTTTTAAGAGTCCATTAGGACTCAGCCTTTCTGCGAAAATTTGGAATTGTTTCCTCGTCTTCAAACATTAAAAAAAAATTCGAGGGAACTGTAAACTTTCTTTTAAACCTTTTTAGGCTGCATGGATGCTTTGAGACGTTCTGCATATGCTAAGAATTTTCACAGTAAATTATGAACAGTGTTTTGAAAGCATTTTCAGGACTGGGTTTGTTTTCTCTTTTGCTGGGATGATCCTGTTTCCTGTTCTATCGGTTTTATGCAATTAATTTTTCATCACGCTTTTAGAACCAACGCCCATCAATTCACACACTAAACATGGCAATTTCTTATCGTAATGCCTGTTGATTGATCGACTTGCTGATTATCTTTGACTCACGTATGCAAAAATTGCTAGGTCTATTTTCCTGGTAAAAATTATAGTTCCGTTTCTTTTTTGACATGTTTCTTTGCGCCGGGTATTTTCCATTCAGGCACTTTTCAGATGACTTCGACGTGAATAAAATTGGCTTCGAAACAGATTCATTATCGTCATCGAACATTCGTTTTGAAGGTTTCCTTTCTTCGAGTGGACTATTTAAAATGATTTATTCCTGTTTTTAGTTCAGTGCATTCGACGAATTTCGAGAGCAAGTTTTGTGAAAATCAGTCTTCGAAATGTACTTGAGTGAGATCAAGTCAGCTGAAACAAAAAAGCAGCATCACTTCGTCAAAGCATCGGATGAGTTGATTATTAGAAAAAGAAGCATTTTGCCTGCTTCGGATTATTTCATTCCACTTTGGACAACAGTGAGGAGAATGCTGATTTTGCCAGCTGTTCTCGGAATTTTTCCCGCAAAATTATTTACTGAAGTCGGGAAGAAAAATCCTGATTGCTCGCGAAAATCTGTCTCAATGATCATCGCAGTTTTCTTACTATTTTGTCAACTCATTCTAAGTGCTCAATTGATATATGGTGAGCTATACAAATTCATATTCAGCAGTGATGACCGAAAAATGGTCAGCGTATTTTAAAACTCCCGAAGTACATGTCATTAAAATATAATACTGTATCGGTATTTAGACGACTTTGCTATAATCCAATGTATATCATTTGTCTTTTTTATATAATAAGGTTGTTTAGCCCAATCGTAAATAGCCAGCCCTTGAAATTTGGCAAAATCGCTTATTTGTGCATCAGTTTTACACATTTATTCGGTTCGTTTTGAATTTTAAAACAGGCTGTGGGTTCATGTGTCTAATTATGTTCAATTTCTCAATATTTTCTTACAAGTCACGAAAATTAAATATTACATATAATAATATGGACGCACATATATTTTTAAAACATCATTTTAAATTTGGAATATTGTCAATTTAATGTAAAATTTCTCAAAATATGTTCAGACTATGCGCTCTTTTAGAAAGTATAATATCTTTGAGATCTAAATCGGTTTGTCTCTTTGGAACGCAAATTTTGTGAGAACTTGAAAAGTTATACAAATTTATTGCACTTTTGCGGAATTCAGCTTGAATTAAGCTAATTTATTTCTCAAATGGCACCCTTTTTTATTATGCTACATACATGCATGCGTATAGGGAAATGTAAAGAATTTTCCAAAAAAAACTATGACAAGTGAATGTGTTGAGCACAATATGTACGATACCAACAAAGCAAATAAAAGAACTGTAATTTACTGTCTGCATATTGAAAATTTCATTTTAACCTCTTCCATGTCTTTATAGAAACTTTTTTTGTTTTGAAATGAACCAGGAAATCTTTTTTGGCAATTTTGTCAAAGTGTTTGTTTAATGCTGCAAGAAACGAACGCCGTTTTTTTCAAGTGTAATTGAATCGAATTTAAAATTTTCAGATTTTGACGCGTCCATGAAGAAATACTCAAGTTTTTACGGCACGACTTCAATTATTTCTTTGTATGCCAACCGATTACTGGAAGCATCCATCGGCCCGTGTATGTTCATCTGGGGCATTTATGGAACAAAACGAGTCATGATTTCCTTTGCAAAAATCCTGAAGTCTGCAGAAACAGTCTTTGAGCTGTGCCCTACAAAGCAGAAACCCCTCAATTTAAGAACGACCCTCTACGTTTTATTTTGGCTCTTTCTGACTCAATGCGCATCTTTCATGGAAGTTTATCCGATAGCTGCTTTCTACGTCGAATTCGCCGGGCCCAAGACGTTGAAAAAGTTATTTGCAATTTTCGGCGTCATAATGTGCGTTTGGAATAAGTTGGCCGTCATTTGGTGGCAATTATTGCCCATAATCACGCTGACTCTGGTCAAACACGTTTACCATCAACTCAGTGAGGCTACCAAGGGATTCTTGATGCTGATGTCGCACAAGGGTTCGAACCCAAGGGACTCGACCAGACAAAAGGTATTCCAGGATGTGGAGCAAGTGCGACAAAGTTGGGCCCATTTGAGGGCAGGTGTGAGAGATTTCCTGGACTCGGTTTCCCCGATCATGGGGCTCTTGTTGGTTTACAATGGGTTCCAGTTTTGCGTGGTGGCTTACATGGAAGTGGTGGATTTCACGTCGGGTCACGTGAATGACTTGATGAGCATCCTGGCTCCATCGTACTTGGGTAAACATGTGTCTCAGGTCCTGGGTTGTGTCTTGGTGTGTCATGGCGTGGAGAAAATCGGCAGCATCGTGAGTTCATCGCAATTTTATGAAAATAAAGATTAGACTGCTCTTAATTACTGTATATGCGTATGTAGATGCTTGGATATACCTTTATAAATGCATATTTTATGTGTATATGAAGTGTCGCATATCTGGGAAATATTGTTCAATTCCGTATTACAGCAGTATATTTAACCGAAATATTCTTCAAATAAGAAAAAAAGATTACACCAACTACAACCGATCATATACTGTACGTTCTTACCGTATATACAAGTGGACTCCCTCGACAACAATCTCGTCCACTATACAGCGATTTTCTCTACACAACGATTGTTTTTTTGTGACGCTTTCCCGAATGCGACGCTTCAACGAAAAAACTTCAGAAAATTATTTTTCAATCAAATGAACGTTGATCGATCTTAAAATGCAGGAAAGCGACGTCGCTCAAGAACTCCAACTCATTCCTGTGGATCACTTGGACAAAGATGATATGATACAGGTGACCTTGCATCAATTACCGATCCCACGTAATATTGAAAAAAAAATCAATGTTTTGCTTTCCTTCAAATACTGCAAATGTTAGCAAAAAGACGCAATGTTAAAATCACAACGTAAACTCATAAAATGATCACCAGGTGCAATTGCTGTTGATGGATTCGACGCAGTCTCATGAATTGAAAGCCTGTGGATTTTTCACTGTCAACAAAGGAATCATGGTTGCTGTGAGTACTCCAGATAGAAAATTACTTTTTAAATATATAATTACAGTATTCATTATACAGTAGAGTACGTATGAAAGTCGTAATACTCGTCTATGCTGTGTATAGAATAAAGATATTAACGTAATTTAATTCAAGATTGTCGCAATTTCCAAGGTGCGATCCTTTTCAAAAGTTCTTTCTGAGTTCCTTTTTCTTCAAAAATGTTAGAAGAAGGAATTAAAGCGGAAACCAATCAGTAAATTCATTCACGCCTTTAAATACTTCTTCTCTTGTATACTTTTCATCAAAATGGATTCCCTAATTTTTCTCTGAAGTTCTGCGTGAAATGAAATTCAATGACTTTGATGCTGCTTAGTTCACTCGTTGCTGAAAATATAACAGGACTTGAAAATTTCGTAATTATTCTTTCTTTCCTACAGATGGCGAACGCATTCATTACTTACTTCATCATCCTGCTGCAGTTCAATTCGTCTGATGTAGGCTAAACCACGGTACAAAGCTTCAACAAATACAGATTAAATCTGATTTTGAAGCGAAAGAATGTGCATCAGGACACATTTTCGATGGAAAGCTGAAGAAACCTTCGTAGATCTCATAACCGTCGAACAATTTTAATTTCTTTCTAATTCAAAATCCGTTGAGGTTTTTTTCCTCTCGTCCGGGATAATTGTTCGTCCGAAATGCACAAGCTCAAAGATTCCGGCCTCATTCCCGACGTCTGCGACCATTTCCCCAAAGAAACCCTGGCAGTCCGTTATTTAGACTCTGGTAAATCAGCAGAGGTCAAGTTCGGGAACGAACTGCGACCAAGCCAGGTCTCGCGTGCTCCTTCAACAGTGACCTGGACAGCCAAACCTGGGCAACTGTACGCAATCATTATGGTTGACCCGGATGCCCCGAGTCGCGTCGAACCCTCGTACAGAAGTTGGCTGCATTGGCTCGTCACGAACGTGCCGGGATCCGAGGTCAATCGAGGTGACCTTGTTGCGTCTTACAAGGGTTCGGCCCCACCGAAAGACACTGGGAATCATCGGTATTTCCTGTTGGTTTTTGAGCAGCAAAGGGGTCGCATTGATGTTAGGGAAACGTTTGAGAAACGGGCGTCGTTTGATACCCGGAAATTCATAAATGAATATGGTCTGGGAGATCTGATTGCTGGGAATTACTTCGTGGCTTCTTACCAAGGCTGATTAAATTTGTCACGAAATTCTGAATGAGAACAGCAGTCCGTATTTTATTACTGAATGTATTTCAACCTTGCCGTGGGGAAAGCGAGATTTTCTTTTACGTTTTTTTAAAAACATGCTTGGAGGCATTCAAAAGCACTTCTCTAATAGAATTTGGAAAGCCGTTTTTATTCCATGAATTTCGTCAGATTTTTTTCTTTTTTCATTTTGCAGTGCTAACCTGCTGATAAATATACCATAGTCATCAATTGCATTAGCATTTCTAGACTCTCGATTCACGAATAATGTATAATTTAATTTAAAATTTTACGCACGTTCTCTGCTTAACTGTTTTTTTTAATGAGTGTGACCTTAAAAATGAAGGCTCAACTAATGAAACGTTTTTTTTTTCTTCAGCAAGCTATAGACATTTCAAAGGAAAATTTTTCCTCAAAAGAAAGACTAAATGCAACGCTGAAAGTTGTCTCAACTTCAAGAAAAAATACTGTATTGATATCCTACAAAATCATTAATTTGGAGCAAATACAGCGGCCTGTATACGGAATACTGTAATCTCCAAGGAACGGAACTTCATCCTCTTCTTTCAAATGCATGTACAGTATTATCACATTTATTTTCAAGCACCTGCACAGGAGGGTCATGGGGTTACGTACATAGAAATGATTGATACGGAATTTCAGTTTTGAGGAGGCGATCATCATGCCTTCGGATGTATCCATGTACATAACGTATATTGTGTGATAATAATATACCGTAATTCGATATATTTGAAGTTGTCAGAAGCATTGCGGACCTTTAAATGAAGAGGATGAAGATGTGTCTTTGGTTCATGAACAACTGAATCGTTTTTTGTTTTTGTTGTTTTTTTGCTCTGAAATTCACTAAATGTCCAAGAAGATAAACCGGGTTTGAGCTCGGTGTCCGCGAGCATTAAGATTTAGCGACATCTCACCGGCGTTGATAAAACTGAGAGCACAAATTAAGTATTCTGGGAATCGATGTCACTCGCTAACACATCACTCCGAAAAAATCGCTGTACACTGGCTGTGTTCTGACATTTCCACCTTTTCCCGCCTCTTCATCTCTTGAAAATAATATTCGAAACTAATATTTTGTTAACACAGGTGCATTGTGCTGTGCAAATAATTTCCCACGCTAACTTCGTTTCCGAATGCCGAAACAGTCACTAATTTAGTAATCATTCGCGCACGGAAATTTGAACCATGATTTGGTGTAACTATGTTTGATATCAACAATTTTTTAGATTGTGTAGCGAGTATTCTTCGAAACTTTTGAAACGCGTTTATTTATGAGGTAAATTCAGGATCGGACAAACTCAAAAGATCTTTCTGCTAGATACCTGAGACAAGAAGTGCAATCGATCATAATGTGCACAATATTTTCGAAAAATTAAAAATTATTGTTGAAAATGCATGAGAATTTCGATGCGCGCGATACGACATCAAAAAGAAGACGAATTATTTATTCATCTAGGTAAACATAGCGGCCATAGCTCAAGAAAACAATTTCTCGCAATATAAACGAAAAAATTTTATCGGGCGTGGTACAATATTACATTTTGAAAAACGTCGATGATGACATCGAAGCAATTTAACTGACAATTTATTCGGAGTTACGCGAGTAATATACGCGCGGATACGTTATATATAGAGGGCTCTGATCGAGAAAAGCGTGAAAATAATTTTGTTACATTTCCCTTAAACATGAAGATTAAAGACATCAACAGATCAAGAGTAAATCCTGAGAAAATGACGAATTACGAGGAAGAACCCCTGCGAAATGAATTAGCCAAATTTATCGTCCCCGCGACTAAATTCGGATTTTTTCCGAATTCCATGATATCTTTGTGCTCCCAAAGAAATTCGAAGTTCGTGATATTTGCTGCCGGTATGCAGGCTTTTATGCAGATTCTGCTAGCTTTGAAATTCTGTTTCCGAGGTGAGTGGATTTTCAAATGAAATTTTAATAATCGAAGTCGTGATGAGAGGACCGCGTGAGTATTTACAGTATATTCTATATTTCAGACGTGGACAAGATGGCCAATGATGGTACAAATAAATTTGGGACAACATTTCACATTTCGTGGCTCGTGAACCGAATTCTGGAGATTCCCATTGGACCGTTACTTTACATCTTCATTTTTTGTAAAACGCCAAAGATTTGTCAAACTCTAGCAACGATTTTGAGCATAGTATCCGAAATTCCTCTATCTTCACCCAAGATTGAATCACAAAAAATCTCGCGTTCCTGTTGGATCATATGCATTGTGATGATGCTTTTGTTTTTTCAAAGTGAGGCATCTCTTCAATTTCAATACAACATATCTGGGAAAAAGGACATTTGGTTGGATTCGATGCCAATTTTGATCATCACAGTTCTTGCGTTATTTGCGCAAAAGTTCGCGTTTTGTTGGTGGATCTCTGCTCTGTTGTTGTTCTCACGACTTTGCAGAGCGGCTTACAAACATTTGCTCGCAAGACTAACAGAAGTTTGTGCAAATTCCTCTGGAAAAGACTTGGATGATTTGAGAGTTACTTGGACTCGACTTCATGGAGCATGTTTCGACCTGCTGAAAGCGTTTGAATCTTTCGCTGTTGGATTCATTCTGCACAATGGGGTGCAGTTTTGCTTGAACACGTATTTATTTTTGGAGGACATGAAACTGAGCTTCCTTTTATGGGGAGTACGGCTTTGGTACATCTCGAATTATGGAGCATTAGCCCTTGGACAAATTCTGTCCATGCTCGTGGTTTGTCACGCCGTGGAGACGATTTCTGGCGCAGTAAGTTGAAAATTATCAAGAAGAACCTTATTCCTGAATTTAAAAATTTCAGAATAGACTGAGCACCATCCTCCTGGTGATTATCAACCAATTATTTGAATACTCGCGCCTTTTGTATAGAAGTCAATAGATGAAGATAAACAGGAACCTAGCTATTCAATTTCAATCTCAGCAGTTACATTCCCGTCAGTTTAAATATTTTATTTGAAAAAATGAAACCAAAGGAAAACCAAATCGGTGTGTTATGCCGTTATGCGTAAAGAGAGACGAGTATACTTCAAAATGTTCGCAAAGCAATTCCTCATGAGAATCCGATGCTTTCTGAATAAGACTCATAAGCTTGACAATATTTTCAATTTTTTTATTCGAGAAAAAAGAAGATTTCCTCACACAAGGCACGGCCTCCAGTTTTCGTGTAATTTTTTTTTCATGGCGCAATATTGACAGTTAAATTTAGGTCTTGAGTTTATGCCTGAATAAGAAGTGAATTCTTTGCGTTGCATTGGCCACTGACACATTACAGCAGCTGTCATACATTGAATTGAATCTTAGATTTAATTTGATAGAATGCAGATGTTATTCGGGCCTGAATTTGAAGATTTAATTTGTTAGTTACAAAAACTTTACGACTTAAACTAATGTGGTTGAATGATGATGCGCAATTGCGCACTGAACTTTTCAAATATTGTATATGGAGCATTTTATGAATGAGCATGATGCCCTTCGCAATTTTCTGTACAGATTCGTGTGGGGGGAAAAGGTGTGCATTTTACCTGCGTGAATAAATACTCTACGGAAAATCTAAAAAGACTTTGGATTTAAGAAACTCTTCGCCGCTCTAAGGTGCATGTCCGTTTATTTTCGTATTTTTTTCTTAAGGAGCAAGAAGTCATTCAAGAACTGAGGGAAATTCCTACACATAAAATGGACATGAGTGAGAGGAACCAAGTGAGGAAACTTCACCTTACTTCTTTCCAGATTTGAGTTTTCATGAGTTTTCCAGATTTTAATTCGCCGAGAAATACGATATTTCTAGTACAGTTATTCTATTTGAAAGACATTTGGCGCTGGATTCCTTGTTTTTGCTTTTTCAAAAATTCAGAAAACGAAAGTGTCATAATCCAGTATTTCCGGCAATACATTATCCGTTGTTTGAACGATGTGTTTCTTCAGTTTCAGCAGCTATTTTATGAAGTGGCGACTTTTTCCAAGGACTTCAAGGGCTGGGGACTTTTCGAAATCAAGAAAGGCATGATAGTGACTGTGAGAGAACTTCCTTTTCCATATTGTCGAGTTTTGAAAAATATCAAATTTTGTTTAAACAATACTCTTTTTCCAGATGGCGAATTCTTTCCTAACCTACTTCTTGATTTTGCTCCAATTCAGCAAGGAAGAGCACGCATCAACGTAGAAGTATATACGTAGTACAGTGCATAAAACATTTACTACATCACAGCATCCAAAATCGGGGACATAGTCCATGACAAGTTACTTTTACATAAAGAGCTCAAACTTTTGAAAAGTTTCACTTATTTGCATCTGAAATTCTCAATTCTCCGCGGTTCGGGTTGGTCTTATATGTTGTGCTGAAAATTAAACTCACACTTCCTCAAGCTATTATTCGGGAAAAAAATTGTTTTTTAATGTATGCTTCATCGTTTTTGTTGTTGGAATATTTGGAAGGATGATGTGAGCTTTAGGGAGCATGGTTTACCTTGTTGAGGTTTATGTTTCAAGCAATGAAGTTGGCAATTGATGAAATACAGAACTATGCTCATCATCTATGTACTGTATATATAGTGAATGTGGATGGAATTATTTTCTGCTGGGGTTTCTTTCCCAAAGGCACATCACCCTGAATAAGCAATGTGTTTCTCATTGACTGAGTTTGAGTGCAGCACACTCACTGCCATTTTTGGAAATAATTTATTCAGACTGTTTCAATGACATTTTTCAGAATAATAACCCAAGTGGGGAAATTGGTGCACACTGGGGATATGATTGTAATTCTACACAGTGACCCTGCTGAGCACCTAGCCATTTTTGGAAATAATTTATTCAGACTGTTTCAATGACATTTTTCAGAATAATAACCCAAGTGGGGAAATTGGTGCACACTGGGGATATGATTGTAATTCTACACAGTGACCCTGCTGAGCACCTGAGGTGAACCAAAGTTCTTCTGTTGTACAGTACGTGC